CGGCCTCTCCCAATTTGAAGAGACCCTTGCCCAGCAGGCCGAGGCAAAGAGGAAGTCACAAAAGCAGCAAAACCAGGGAGCCGGACAGGGGACAGACTGGATTTGTCTTCAGTGTGGAAGGGACTGTCACTCTCGAATTGGCCTTCTCAGCCACACTAGGCGCTGTTCCAAGCCCTCCATACAGAGCACGCTACCATAGTTTTTCGAGACTGAAGGATACCTAAACTAAGCCCATTTTGTTGTTACAGGCCTGGCTACTTTGATTAGCCAGGCCGGGCAAGGGTCAAGAGAGGAAGTGGTGGCCCGACAGCGATCAAGCGCTTTGTCTACCATATCTGGCGTCACAGGCTGAAAATATTCAAGACTCACTGGGCAAGGCAAAGCACTGGACATCTCTGCTCGGTCTACTATATTTTAAAAAAGAGAGAAATCCCATCAGATGGGCTCCACTTTAGATTTAAAAAAAGCTGTAAATTGGTCAGGTGAGATACTAGTAGGAGGCCCATCACCTAGACCAATTCCGGATACATCGCGAACAATACGGAAAAGTTCCGCCTGCTGATTTGAAGCTTCGCTGATCTGGTCAGCGAAGTGTGATCATCTAGCAGCCTTCACCTTAACGAGGTAATGGTTAGTCGCAATCCTGACAGCTTTCTTATGTTTTTTTCAACTGGGCAAGTCATTTGCTAATCTGAGTGCAGATACTGAGGGGTCACCTTCTCTTATTTCCACAAATATATCCCATTCTAGATGGATACAGAAACAAATGCTTCCTTTTGTACTTATCTGTTGATATGGAATGCATCCACTGAGGGCTTTAAATGTGGCAATGATAATAATGGTAGTGATGGCAAGTCAGTTTTGACTTATGGTGATCCTTTTCAGTTTTCCAGGTAGAGAGAGCGCTCCATATGTGTTATTAGCTCCTTATATTATGCACAGGAACAGCGGTGATTTTCTAAGATTGTGGCAATATGAGCCTATGAGTGTGCAATTAGTATAATATCTTTGCAGTTTCATTTTGGACCAAGAGAAGGTTCCAGATTCTCCAAAGATGGCCTGATGTAGATCATATTGCAGTAATTCAAACCAAAGTGAATAATTACTCTAGGCAGATCTGGATGCTACTGGCAGACTAGGCTCAGCTTACCAAAGACCTTTCTTTCACATCTGCCAGTAGATCATCCAGATGCAAAGCTAACTCTCTGAATATTCCCACATGGCTGCACACCTGATTCCTTAAGGAAAGTACTTCCAGAAAGTGGTTATGAATCCCAGGCCTGACCAGAAAGTATTTTTGTCTTTTCTGAAAAGTTGTTAATCCTTATTCAACCCAGTATTTTCTCTTTATATTCAGAATGTCAGTGGCTTCTCTGTTACTAAATGAAAGGGAGAAGTAGAGGTACACGCAATCTGCATTTTGGTGATGAAGTACCAAAGTTCTCTGGAAAACCTCTTACAATATTTCCATGTTGATGTACAATATTTTACTTTTGTTTTGAACATGGGAAGTTATCAAGCACTAGAGGTTGCTGGTGGAAGCTATGGGGTTCCTGAAGTAGATCTGCTGCGAGGCCAACACTGTTAATGTCCTCTTTCCTTCAACCTTTTAGTTTCAAAATGGTAATTATCGTGGAATCATAGAATGTAGTTTGGAAAGGGGCCTATAAGTCCATTGTGTCCAACCCCCTGCTCAGTGCAGAAATCCAGATCAAAGATACAGTACTTGACCGATCAAATAAACTTGACAGGGTGTCTAGCTTTCTGTTAAATGCTTCCAGCATAGGAGTGCTTACCACCTCTGGAGATAACTGGTTCTATTGTCATACTGCTCTAACAGTTACAACGTTTTTCCTGATATTCAACTGGAATTTGGCTTGCTATAAATAGAACCCATAGTGTCCTGCACTCTGGAATGATTGAGAACAGATGCTGTGTTCTTGACAAATCCCTGTTGGCTTCTGGTATTCACTGCATTGTTTTCAATGTGCTTGCAGAATGACCACTTCATAATCTGCTCCAGAATTTTCTCTTGGTGTCAGATTGACCATGCTTGGGTCCCACTTCCCTTCTCTTTCTGTGCCTGTCTGGGCATAAAAAGATGTGGGAAGTGGGAACAAAGCAATCCCCCAGCCCTACTGTCTTTGCAAAGACAGCAGGGATAATTTCTTTGGCCAGGCGTCCCTTGTCTATGCCACAGATGCATAGAAAGACAGAGAAAGCCAGTCAAAGCAATCCCACCGTCTTTGCAAACGGGGGTGAGATTCCCTTCAGGCAGGCTTTAGCAAGCCGCCTGAAGGGAAGACCCCTCTCTGCTTATGTCCCCAAGGAACAGAAGAACAGCCGATCCCTGGGAGCATAAGCAGGTAGGGATACACGAATATAAAAGGGTTATATACATTGCTTTGTATTCGTCGGGATCTCTGGATCTCAGGAATACGAAGCAACAAATATCTGACAAATCAGCTATATTAGTTGAATACTGTATTGTGATTTGTTTTCATATTCATCCCCATGTCTAGTTAGGACAGCGGATGACCAAAGTTTAATTTTTTCAGTACAATATATCACTATGGTCACTTTAAACTAAGATAGTTTCAGGCAATTCTTTTGGATGTGTTGAGGAATGGGGGCTGTCAAAGTCATGGGTTCATGACTGCCCTCATCAAATGAATGGAATTTGTCTGAGTGGTGATTGATACAGTGGGTCTTCTTTGGGTGGGAGTAACAACTAGATTTAGGCTTATAGAAACAAGATTTTTGTGGTGTTTGGGAGGAAGATAATGACAAGAATTGGGAAGAAATGTTCTTAGCTTTCAACATGTTCACTTTCCATCAGTCTAAGTAAAGTAAGCATGTGTCCTAGGTGAGATACTGCTCAAGAAAAGTGGGCACATTACAGCAGAATCCAGCAAAACTGCTGGAAACGTGTGCCACCTAGGTCTGAATGGCACTGACAAAAGTCCCCTCCCCTTTCATGCAAATACTGCAGGTCTGATATTGGGATGGGAATGGGGTGGTTGCATCATTTGTAGTGCTAAAGAGAAGAGATTTAAGTTACAGTAGTTTATTTTAGTTAGTTTAATGTGATTTGTGGTCGTGGGGTGTCTAGAAAATTAACTTGTTAAGTCAGTTCAAACCACTGTTGGAGTATGAATTTTAATTAACTCTTGGATCATCATATTCCTGTTTTTAGTGAAGAGCAAGTTATCAGTATAAAAGAGTGGTTCGCAACATTGGATAACCAGGTGTTCTAGGACTGCAGTTCCAAGAAGCCTTCACCACCAGCTGTGCTGGCCAGGGTTTCTGGGAGTTGCAGTCCTGAATTACCCAAGGTTGGGAACCACTGGTGTAAGAGAACAGTTAAGTGGCACTTCAAGTTGAATGAACTTGATAGTGATCTTAGTTAAGAAAATGTAACAATAGTAACTTTGATAGGAGTTTTAGGTGAAGAATTCTGAGAACTATACTAAATGTGTATGGTTTATATAATGTCTATATTTGCAAAAATAAGACGTGACATAGAACTGAATATTTTACAAAACTTTCTAATACATTGGATAACTGTTATGAATGTACTGTTAAAGTATACAACCATGGTATGTTTAGTTTCTGAAATTGTTCAAATTCAGGTCTTGATTTTCACTTAGATAAAAATATTCAGAACATGGCACTGGCTTGCAGAGGTTATTTAGCTTTTTCCTCTTTTATTTTATTGGCAGGCGAAATCTCACAAAACTATCCCTCATCTTCAGTCACATGCTTGCAGAAATCAAAGCAATCTTCCCAAATGGCCAATTCCAAGGCGATAACTTTCGTATCACAAAAGCAGATGCTGCAGAATTCTGGAAAAAGTTCTTTGGAGAGAAGTAAGTATCAAGATTTTTTCTGTGCCATTAGTGTGTTCTAAATAAATATATTGAATGTTGCTAATGATAATTTCTGTAAAATGAACTTTAATCATAGGTGTCTTTCTGCTAAGTTATTTTGACAAGTATGTATGCCAACAAGGACACAACAGATCTTACTGCTTGAAAGTTTAGACACTGTGGCTAAAATCCTGTTTGTGTAACTTAACATTGTCTAAGGTTCATGTTCATCAGTGGTTAATAAATAAATAAATAAATAAATAGTCTAAGGTTCATGTTGTCATCAACAGTGGTTGTTTTTCAAAAATTAAACGTTTTTTACTTCTGTCCCGAGCTTTGTACGTATCCCCTTATATAGAAAACTAGTTAAATATTGCGTGCCATTGCCAAAACTTGTTCCTTACAATATACCTATTGGAGTCTGTGGAATTTATGGAGGAATTGACTCACCAAGTCCCCATGGATTCAATAGGCCTACACTTGTGCAGTTTACTGTATTAAACAAGATTTTGACCCATGTGTCTGAGAAAGTGGATTATATTTCTCAGTAACTTACAGTGAAATAAATCTATCTTTAAGGTACCACAATAATGTACTTTTCTTTTTTATGGTCGCTTAGATTTATTGTACATGCTGAAATGGATTAACATGACTACTTTTTTGTATCTCTTGTCCATTCATTCAATCTTTATTATGGTCATTGACCAACATAAATGAGGATGGGGTACAAACAGTTGTTATGCCCATTAAAACTCTATTTAAGCCATAGCCCAAATTGAACATCAATATGAAATTTAACAAGTAACCTTACATTGATTCTAATAAAAGCAAAATATAAGAATACAGGGGGCAGTGAATAGAAAAGAGGAGAAGAGAAAAGGATTCTACAAGGTTAAATAATTATTGTGACTCTTAAAAGTTAGTGTATCTATAAATAAAAGGTACGATCATAAAATAATTCCAAGGAATTATGGGTATACACATATATACAGTGGTGCCTCACATAGCGATGTTAATCCGTTCCGGAAAAAACATCGCTAAGTGATTTAATCGCTAAGTGATATTAAAAAGCCCATAGGAACGTATTAAAACACGTTTAACATGTACCTATGGGCTAAAAACTTACCTTAAAGCGAAATTATACCTAAGAATGATATCAGAGTAGTAATTCCGCTCCAAAATACCACAAAATCTTGACAAAGCAGAGTTTGACAAGATCAATTATTAATTTTACTTTGGAATTTCATCCTTTATAGCCAAGGCATTTTCTGCCCCCCACCCCTACCCGACAGATCATCTAGTCTTCTACAAAAGAACAACTTCCTCGAATCTTTAGCATTTGCACTGTCAGAACCAAGGATCTAATAAGGTGCTTCTGCCAGCAGAACTGCATCTGTCAATGGAACGGAAAGGAAGCAATGCCCAACCACCATCGCAGCCTTCTGGGCAACCCTAAGACTGGCTACAGAGGACTGGAGGCCTTTCCAGAACTCGGTGTCTCATAATTCAGGGTACTACAGGGAGAGGGAGGAGAACTCCACTGCTGGCAGTAAGGTACTGTGGTGATGTTGAATGTGGGCCCTAACTCTGTAAACTGCCAAGTGAACGTTTTTCTGATGCTAACTAGACTGCCCTTCCCATGTCCCTTTTACACACACACACACACACACACACACACACACACACATTAATCCAGCATTAAAAGACATAGAATTAAATATATATACTACTTACGATGCCAATCATCACCTGGCAAATTTTAATCGCTGCCACACAGTACCTATCAACATTACAGTATATGTTGTAAATATCTCTAGTTAGTTACCTATTAGGCCAAGCTACTCTTATTGTGTTCTGCTAATATGTTTTTAGAGAACTTAGGTTCTGATACCATCCAACTAAGAAATTTCAGTGTTCTTTGCAAGGGTTCTTTGATGCAAAATAAGCCATCCTTCATAGTTTCTCAAAAGCTGTTAAACATGTAGCGACATAACTAAAAAATACCATTGAGCTGGAGGGTTGGGGTTTTTTTGGGGTGGGTGATGCAATTTAATCAGATTTGTTAGAGAAAGACTTGACATTAGATATGCACTACTCTTTCAACTACATGGCACTGTGCCTTGGATTATTCTTTTAAAGCTCTGCTTGTTATGACAAATTAGTTTGTAAATGGTTTTGTGTATGATTTGCATCCTGACGTAAAGAGGAAAGTGAGGAAGAGTTTTGGCATTCAGAAATTTAAATTACTTGATCTTATTATGGTGATTTTGGTGAGTTCAGAACTTACAAGAATATAAAATTGGAATTTCCGAATGTGCTCTCATTCGGCTATCTTCTCTAGATTATTTTTTAAGCATAACTTCATGTGTTTTACCCTGGAATATTGTGTAAGGGCATACAGTTGCATTTTAGTTTGTATATGCTACTTCAGTGTGAGATTCGGCACCAAAGACTAAGTTAACTCAAATTATTGGACTGCTTCTTTGTGTATTTACATGTAATTTAAACCTTTTAAGTCCATTGTTAGGGACCTGACTATTTAGGTAACGCTCTCTTTAAATCACCACAGAACTAAACATTTTTTCTCCAATAATCTTCACTTTTTTCCTCTCTCCGTCTTTTGCTGCTACCAACCTTTAGCTGCTCTTGTGTGTTTGAATATTCAAACTTTCACTAAGTCTCTTATAATATTCTCCGCATAGCCAAGCCTTCATGTACTGACTGAAATCTGTTCCACTTAATTTGAATAGAACATGTAAGGTTTTATTAAAATAGCCGTGTTAAAAAGAATGTTGTTTATTCCTAGGCTTTAAATTTACAGTATTCAGCATAATCCTTTACTTTATGTCTTCTCCATCTCTCTGAATAGAAGGAAAAAGCAGTTTGTAGATTAAATAGGCTCAAGAATTTTAAATGTTGTATAAATGTTCCCTTCTGCCGGTGTTATTGCCAACATTTTGGATTGCATTTTAGGGATAATTCTTGAAGTTCTAACTCCATGGACTATATTATGATGGTGGTCCAGTGTGATAGTTAGCACATGCACGCATGTTTATACATCACTCTTCAGCAGGAACCAGTACAGTTGCATACTAATCTAAGCTAGTAAAATATATTTGTATCTAATGCAACTGCAGTGGTGCCTCGCATTATGAGCGCTCCGTTCGATGATGAAATCGCTTTATGTCGATTTTGCGATCGCAAAAGCGATCGCAAAACTATGTTCCCTATGGGGGAATTTCAGTAACCGATCATCGCAAAGCGATGATTTTTGCACAGCTGATCAGCGGTTTCAAAATGGCCGCCGGGTAAAAAAAAAATGGCCGCCCGCTGTTTTCTGGCACGGATTCCTCGCTGCACAGGCAGCGAAAATGGCCACGCCATGGAGGATCTTCGCTGGATGGTGAGCTTGAAGCCCCTAGGAATGCATTAATCGGGTTTTAATGCGTTTCTATGGGCTTTTTAAAATCGCATGACGTTTTTGTTTTACAGCGATTTTTGCGGAACAAATTAACGCCATGCCAGCGATTTTTGCGGAACGAATTAACGCCATGTGAGGCACCACTGTATCTGAACAATCAGAAGCCATATCAAATTAAAGTTCCCACCTAAGGTACAAACATGTGTCTTAGTGGGAGTGCAATCCCAAACAAAGCAGGTTAGGAAGCTGCCTTTTACCAGATTGGATCTGTCTCTTGAGCCCAGTGTTACCTACTTCACAGTGATATTTTTTGATTGGAAATGCCAGAGATTGACTCAAGCATTTTCTGCATGCTAAATCCCCTTCTTGGCATCTGTCATTGGATTTCAAATCAGCAAAACCTTGTCCTACCTGAATTAAAGTTGCTCACCTCACTATCTCATATGCTTCAGATTTTCTGCTCTATTGTTGATCAGATACAGGCAGAATGAGTGTTATCCAAATATATTGTAAATCAGCTGTTACTTTTAGAAAAACTTAACTAGAATTCATGTGTATTTTTTGAAAATATTAATGACAGGATAGGAGCTGGTGAACTATATAAGTAAAATATAATGGAGAAAGAAACTGACATCACAAGAACATAAGAAGAGCCCTGCTAGATCAGACAAAGAGCCCATCTGAAACTGACATCACAAGAACATAAGAAGAGGCCTGCTAGATCAGACAAAGAGCCCATCCGGTCCAGCTTCCTGTATTTCAAAGTGGCCCCACCAGATGCCCCTGTGAGCACATGAGTGAACTAGATACAGTGGTGCCTCGCCGGACGAAAAACTTGCTAGATGAATAGGTCCAGCGAGGGTTTTGTTGCCTCACAAGACAATTGTTCCTATGGCCCTGCTTCACAAGATGGAGCACCAGAAGGCTTCTGAAAGCGGTGCTTTGCTGCAGGATGGGGTGGGGTATGAGTGCTCTTCTCCACTCCTGCCCCCACCTCACAGCTGATTGGCACAAGGTGTCAGAGGCTTCTGCAGGCTTTCCCAGCAGGTAAACTGGCAGTGGAAATGCCCCCAGGGAAGCCTCTGAAAGCGGCGTTTTGCCGTGGGGGTAGGAGGGTGGGAGGGGCAGGCCTCCCACCCCCCCATGCCCCCCACGTCCCCCTGCGGCAAAGCGCCACTTTCAGAAGCCTCCCGGGGCTTGTTCAGCAATGGAAAAGCACCTGGGAGACTTCTGAAAGCGCAGTGGGGGGGTGGAAGTGCAGGGGGGTTTGCGGCTTTCAACACCGCTTTCAGGGGCTTCCCGGTGCATTTCCACTGCCTGTTTACCTGCTGGGAAAGCCTGCAGAAGCCTCTGACACCCTGTGCTGATCAGCTGTGAGGCGGGAGGGAGGGCAGGAGTGGAGAAGAGCACAAAATGGCTGCCGACTCCCTGCTGGGTGACAACTCTCAGCTGTTTGGCGCTCTTTTTCCGACTGTTCTGGGTTTACCAAGGCACTGTGAGGAGCCAGGCTTAGTCTACAGTACCTGGTAAGTGACTTTATTTTTTTGTTTGTTTGTTTTGGACTTTTTACCCCATAGGAATGCATTAATTAAATTTCAATGCATTCCTATGGGAAACCGTGCCTCACAAGACGAAATTTTCACTAGACGGCATTAACCGTGGAACAGATTGATTTTGTCTTGCGAGGCACCACTGTAGTTGTCTCCTGATACCACGCCCCTGCATCTAGCATTTTGAAGTACCTTCCCTTTAAACCTGGAGATTATATATCCCCATCATGGCTTGTAACTTGTGATGGACTTTTCCTCCAGAAATGTGTCCAATCCCCTTTTCAAGGCATTTAGGCCAGATGCCATCACCACATCCTTTGCCAAGGAGTTCCACAGACTAACAACATGCTGGGTAAAGAAATATCCAATGTCATTTTCGGTATTCCCAGCCTTACTTGCTTGAGGCAATTTAGAAAGATAATGTGGTTTGTACGTATAGCAAAGCTGGCATAGATGTTATAAAGGAGGAAGAGAGCTGAGGCAACTGTAGTACTAAGCTGAATGAGAGAAAAGAAAAAAGAGACAGTCATTATTGGCAGTGGTGTTAGAAGGACTGTTTATAGTTAGAGAAGTTTCACAAGAAACTTAGATAATAGTTGAAAAAGATAATCATAGAAGCATGTTAAAGCTAGGGTATGGTACCTTATTTTCATTCACTGGTGTTCTGCTGCTACAAAGAGGAAATGTTGAGGATTGGACTTTTTTTTTCTTCATATGTGGTTTGGAAAAGAAATTTGGAATGATGCTGAAACAGGAAATAAAGCAGGTGGAACATCAGCCAAAAGTCAGTGTGATTTCAAATGTTGTGTATAAAGAAGCAGCACTTCAGCATCTTATTTTCTGAAGCCCTGAGAACAGTTTTATTCTTAATTTATCATTAGATTTAATAGCAAATGGATGGTAGTTGAATATACTGATATTTATATATGGGGCAGCTCATTTTCCTGCTGAACAGCTGTGGACCCCACTTGCTCCAGCAGGCGCCCATTCAGCATCAGCAACCAGAGAAGTCGGGACAGGGTGCTGCTGCCAGGGTTGTTGATCTGTTTTTAGTATTTTTTGACATGACATTTTCCAGTAAGAGGGTTAGCTAGTCACTCTGTGTGAGTCACAGAAACAACGACAAAAGAGTATAGTTTGCTTATCTGCAACTGTAGTTCTTCAGGTGGTCATCAGTGAACTCATCCTCTTCCCTACAGTCCATCACAATGGCCTTTGTGTGTTGACAGAAGAATGAAACTGAGAGAAAATCTTTAGGATGCACTTCAATATAGAAGTAGGGCCCCCAAAAGCTGATTAGCTTTAGATTATTCTGAAGGTGGTTATGCAGGTGCAAAACCTGTGTACCGTTTCCCCAAAAATAAGACCTAAGCTGAAAATAAGCCCTAGTATGATCTTTCAGGATGTTCGTAATATAAGCCCTACCACCAAAATAAGCCCCAGTTAAGTGAAACCCTGCCCTCCACCAGGGACTCATTGTGCAGCAACCAGAAGATGACATGACTGTATTTGAATAAATGTACAGTAGATTGTTGTACATGAAAAAATAAAACATCCACCTGAAAATAAGCCCTAATGTGTTTTTGGAGCAAAAATTAATATAAGACCCTGTTTTATTTTCGAGGAAAACGCGGTATATTAGTTCAGAGATTAGTTCAAATAACTGCAGTTACAGGTAAGCAACCTGTCCTTCACAGAATTATAATATAAAAGAAGATTTGGAGAGAGAAGCTGAAAGAGGCCAGATAACAAACAGTAGAGTATGTATTAATTGATTCATCAGTCATGTATTGGTTTATGAGAGATGCCACAATGTTAGAAATGACTAAGAATGAAAGTATTGTATTTTAGTCAGAGCAATTCTTTGCCCGTTAGTATATTAAAATTTGTTCTTAAATTGTGTCTGTTGCAGTATTCTGTTCATTGTGGTTTCCTGTTTTTCGTAAATAGGAAGAGCTACCTCTTAAATGTGTTGAATACACAATATTTGTAGATTTTTTGGTACATTCTTTATATAGTATTATCTCCAAAGAATTATATGGACATAGGTGTAAACCAATTTGGGGCTGTTGCAAGAACTATAGGAACAAGTTGCAGAGCTAGCTCTTGGACCCAACTTTTTAAGATAAAATTTTATAGTGTACAGTGTTAAGTTCAAATCATTCAAATTTAATTGTGCTTGCAGAAGAAGATATATTGGAAAAATAAGGTACGTTTTCTAGAAAGTAATTTATTGAATGGCTTTTTTTACAAGCCTCATATCGCTGTCTTATCTAAGTCTTCGACTGCGATCACCGCTTTCAGAGGAGGTTGAGAATTGAGCACTTCTCCTCTTTGTCATATATTACCATTTTTTCCATCCCCATTAAGTAGCTGGATGTACCTGAAGATTTTGTTGTTGTTGCTTTTAACTTTTTTTTACTAACCTTATCCTCAACTTTTGCCTTCCTAACACCATCCCTGCAATTCTTTGCTACTTACCCATCATCTTCCTTTGTGGCATGGCCTTCCTTCCACTTCCTATATGTGTCCTTTTTAAAAAATAAATATATATAGGTCCTCTCTGAGCTTTCTGTGAATCCATATTGGTCTTTTTTCCTGTCTTCCATCTTTTTTTCTTTTTAGAATTGTTTGTATATGTTCCTTTAGAATTTATTTTTTAAGAAACTCCCACCCATCTTGTAGTTTTAACCGACTCCTTTGTCTGTTAGGATCTCATGCCCTGGGACCTTACTTACCATTGTTCCAAACTTCTTGCTTTGTTGCATTGTATTAGTGTTATTTGCAAGCACTTAAATAGATTATCGAAAACTAAATTGGAAGTGTGAAGTATACCACCAGTTTTAATTGGAAACATGATCCTCTGTGTTGAACAGGATGCCCCCCCCCGACATTATCCTTTTGCTAGTTCTAACTAGAATAGACACATTGACAGTGTGATTTGTATACGTGTTGAATTATCATTCAGATAGTCAATTCAATGGGTCTCTTGTAGTTGGATCTAACAATAGGATACTGGCCACTAGGTGTTCTGGAGCAGCTCTGATAAAACTGCCTTAATTGATAGAAGCCTTATTTGGTTTACCTCTATCAATTGTAGTAGGAGTAGTTGTTCAGCTGAGGAATTAAGGTATTGTCTCCAGCTCTAGATCCAGCTTTGTTGATGGACAGGCTCCTGTGAATTCATCAAACATGGCCTAATAAACATGGTTTAATATCCACACATTTTAGTCTACATACCGATACGTCTTTATAGCATTTTACAGGAGGAAAAATGAAAATGAGTGCAGAACTTTTTGAGGAAATTTTTTTAAAAAAATCAAAAGGGAATAAAGAGGAAATCAAGCTGAATTAATAGAGGCTGTCCCAAGGAAGCTGCAGTGAGTTGGATTGTGTGTGACATTGGCCAGAAAAGGAGAGGAAACAGAGTGAGAGAAAGAGATTCTGGAGCAAAGGGTCATGGGCTTGAAAGGAAAAGCAGGTGAGAGAGAAGGCGAAGTACTTTTCCTTAGATGTGCTTCAATGAAAGTAGACTGAGAGAGATCCTTGGCAGCATGATATACCCCCAAACGATAAGCAGGGGAGTCCCATGTTACATCATACCTTTCACTGATCAAGAGATGCAGCTGTGCAAGAATAAATCCACACTAGGAGACTGAAAGAGACTCTAATAGTTTTAAGCTGGAAGCAGCTTAATTTCCCCCTTTTAATGTCAGAGGGAAATTCCCTTAGTCAAAGAGCAGTAGAAAATGCCAGGAGTATTCCTGTACTAGCTCTAAGAGAATTAGTAAACAGCTGGAATTGATCTGGTTTGATGACTCATGTAATATGTTAGAATATAAAAGATTATGGAGTCACAGTTTCACTTTGGGTAGTGCTGCAGATTTTTTAGAAACTTTGACTGATAAAGTTTCTTGTGGATAGTTAAGTGATTGCTTTTTCCTGTTGAAGAAAATACAGTAAAACAGAGTGAAATTTGAATTCAGCTACATGTTTATCATGAAAACAAAACTGCAGTGCTTTTGAAACATACAACAATTCTTGTTTAAATATCTTAAGGAGATGGCTATATATTATGTAGCACGTTTGTTTTGTTTTCTTACTACAGAACCATAGTGCCTTGGAAGGTGTTTCGGCAATGTCTACATGAAGTACATCAGATTAGTTCTGGTCTGGAAGCAATGGCTTTGAAGTCTACCATTGATTTGACTTGTAATGACTATATTTCAATATTTGAATTTGATATCTTCACAAGATTATTTCAGGTAAAATTTTCAGATGAATGTAGTGTTGATTACTATCTGTTTTTATTGCTTTTCTCTAGGTATGTTTCTTTCAAACTTTGCAGCCATATTTAGGGGACCATCTTTTCCATCAATTGAAAATGATGTATTGACAGTTTAGTTTGATGATTCTGATAATGAGATGTATCCAGTTACAGTACCAGTAATTGATTCTGTAGGTTTTTTTCATAAGTGATTTGAGTTCAATAGTCCTAGATGGTGGTTTTAACCTAGACAAGTTTTGTACAGAGTAAACTTCAACAAAATAAACTTAAGGTAAATCCAGTTTGTCAGATAACAATAAGAGCTTTCTATTAACTTTTAAATATTCTGTTTCATCTAGAGAAAAGATACTTAGGTTTTGTATTCTGAACATCAGAATAAAAATAGTAGTGAAAGAGAAAAAATAGGAGTGAGAAAAGAATAACTTAATGGATATCCAAGAGCAGGCTGCAGAGTCAAGTACATTGAATATCTGGGCATGAAAAACTGAGATAGAATTTCTTTATATTCTTGCATTGCGTACCTATGAGTAATTATCAAAGCAACTGCCATATTTAATATCTCACCATTGCACTACTGTTGTGATAAATTACATACTCAGTGTTAGCATTCCTGCTGTACCTAAAGGAAAGAGAGGTTAATGTTTTGTTTTGAATTTAGATTAAAACAGTGGAAGTTTTTGTATTTAGATGATTGCTTGGCTTTCTTTTCTTTGTCTGCTGAAAAATTAGACCTCTTGCTTCTTTCTCAGTAGCATTCTCCTTGAAATGTATCTTGTTAAATTGCGTGTTTACATACTATATAAAAAGATGGTGTCTGCCTCCATGATCATTGACAGAAGAATGGAGCAGAAGCACAACATACACATAAATGCTGGCTTCTTTTTCTTACTTTGTGTTTAGCCTTGGGGGTCAATATTAAGAAATTGGAACTTCTTAGCAGTGACGCATCCTGGATATATGGCGTTTTTGACTTATGATGAAGTTAAAGCACGGTTGCAAAAATACAGCAACAAACCAGGAAGGTAATGCATTTTAACTGTTACTTCATTAAAAAGAGGTTTTCTGTGGTCCGTTAACCTTTTTTTTAAACAAAAAAAATAGTAGTGTGCAAGATAGCTGATGTTACTACATTTTATTTTCATTATTTTATTTATTTCAAGATACTTGTATTCTGCTTGTTTGAAAAGAAATCTGAAGAAAGTATATGGTAAAAGAATTTGCTAGAAATAACAAGACATTGATAATGCAACAAGCAGAGTTGGGTAATACCCAGGGCTTGAAAAATGCATTTGTCCACTCATCTGTAAAGAGTGAAAAATGCTGCTCGATGAGCCTATCCCTCTAATCCTGCAGTACTCCCCTCCCCCCTCCCATTGCAAAAGGAAAAATGTCCTCTTTTTGCGAGAAGAGAGTTTGAGCAGCACATAGAGATATAGCTCTGCAAGAGAATGTAAAGTAGGCCCATATTGAAGAATATGGAGATTCCCTGCTCCCAATTTCAACCGAATGAGGACATATCCTGGGGTGGGAGGGAACCATGGCTCCTTAACAGGCTGGGCACTTTTGCTTGCAGTTTTATTTTTGCTGGAGACATTCAAAAGAAAGGCATTCAAAATACAAGCTTCATGACCCCACAGGCACGCAGATGATAAAGCAACCCAAGTTCGAGGGTATAAATCAGTGATTCCCTTATAAGTAGTACAATTTATTTTAGGTTTGTACACATTGTTACATAGAAATAAAAGTGAACAAGTGCCTAGTTTAAATTTGTTAATTTAAATTGCAAGGCTATAGTTCGATTATGCTGACTGGTGAAATTTTTGACTGACTGGTGAGATATTTTAAAATTTGTCAAGCCCTGGTAATACCTTTTAGGCCACCAAAATATTAGGAAGTAATGAGCATTTGAGTATTTCAGAATTCTTGAGACTTAGCATTGAATCTTGGAAAGTTTGGAGGAGAAAAGCAGAGTTCAAAATTCATTGTCACTGCATTTTGCAGCCATGGCAGTGGTATTTACTTAAACTTCAAAATGGAGATTGCAAGCCTGGAGAGTCAAATTGATGTGTGTGTGTTTTTTCAGTTTGTACCTCATGGTGTGTGGAAGATGATAAAACTAATAAAATCATTAAAAACCATTAAAAGTTCACCCCATTACTAGGACAGTAAAATAATTATGAAAATGTCTGGCCAAGCAAATAAATTTTTGATAGTACCCACCACAACAAACCATATAGAGTAAATGTGGAGATAATTCTGCTTGGTGGGACCACATCAGAAAACACATTATTCCTCACCACAACTAAATGAATCTCACTGGGCCTAAAAAAATACAGTAGTGAGCATTTTAAAGTTACCTCACTCCATTCGAAGAATTGCAATCCTGGTTTTACTAGCCTAAGTCAATTTGCATTTTAAAACTCAACTACACTTATGACAAAATAGTAAAAGTTACTAAATATGGATCTGTTCTGTCAGTTATTGGACATTCATAAATGTCTTGATCCCAAATTTCAAGCTTTCCAATCAAGCCATAATAGAAAAGCTCTTTTTAAAATCACATTTTAAAGAGGAAATGGTGACCCCATGTAGGCAATGGACTATAGGCATCAGAGTCACACACTACAACCATAAAATCACAGGTTACCTATCACTGTTTTTCTGTCCTGCTGTGCTTTTGTTTGTATCTTGTAATACATCATCTCTGTAGCTCTTTTTTTTTACTCTGTTGCCTGTGAAATTGTGTAATTTCCACTTCTTCATTCGCAGAGCATCACCACTTACTACTTTTAGTGGTACATCTCTAAATTCAGATTATGTTTCCTTTTGTTTTTCTCTACTGCTTATTGTTCTCTAGGACAGGAAATAAGCTGTAACTATGGATGCAGATGTCTATATGGATTTCAGTCTCTATTAATTCTATGAAATATCTTCCTTTTACTTTTCCTATGGAAAATGCTTAACACTGAGCTATCATTGGCTACATTCGGACACAGAACCAAACTATGCTTTGCTAGTTTGTCCTAGTTAGCTAACTATGAGGTTTTACTGGAGAACAAATCACAGCCTAAAATCATAGGTAAAATTTGATTTTTGAAATTCTTTTCTTGCATTAATACTTGTTACAGTACTTTACTCGAACCCCTGACAGGCCAGTGAAGTGCAAGGAAAGTGTGGTTGGAAAAAGAGGTACAGCCAAAGCAATAGATACTCTTAATGACACTTTTCTAGATCTCCCAGTTCTAACTCTGCCTGGCAGCTGGATTTTAACTTTTGTGCTGATAAACCCTTTCTGCACACACTGCCCAGCTGTGTTTGTAGATACATTGCAAGGAGAGTAATATCTATAAAGGGTACTCAGCATTGTGCTAACATCTGTCCAAGAATTCCTGGAGATACACATCTTTGCTTTTAGTAGTCTGCTGGATGAGTCCTGGAGCATCACCACTGCTTAATCAGAATGCTTTCGGTAAATAGCAAATTTTATTGAACACCTGTATGACTGCATATAAAAATTTAGTATGAAGAAGTTATTTTATTCAGAAGGGAAGGTATATATGCTTAAGAAATGAAAGGATTCTGTTTCTATGGTGCATGTCCAGGAAAGGAAGAAGAAAATGAAGCTTTAGGACTACGTTGGCCTTGAAGCAGCTGAAAATCTATAAGTCAGAGAGAGGCTTTATGTCCCCTGCCCTATTTCTCTAGCTGGCCAATGGCACAGGATCTACAGATGCTGGAAGATATAGTGATGAAGTGAAGTTATACTCTTAATTGACAGTAAAAAAATCAAGATAGTAGATAAATACAGTGGTGCCTCATATAGCGAGATTAAGCCGTTCCGGATTAACCTTCGCTATAGCGAAACATCGCAGACGGGACAGGGAAAGCCATTGGAATGCATTAAACATCGTTTAATGCGTTCCAAAAGGCTCCTTTACTCACCGTTCAGTGAAGTTTCCTATGGCCGGCAGCCATTTTCGCGCCCTCGTTAAGTGAGGGGAGGGGGCGAAAATGCTGTGCGCGGCCATTTTGGGGCTTCCGGCGGCCATTTTGTCCGCCAGACAGCTGATCGTCGGGGCTTCGTTTTGCAAAGATCGGTAAGCGAAACGCTTGCCGATCTTCGCAAAGCGAGTTTCGCCCCATCTAAACGTCCTTGAGCGATCGCATTAGTGATCCCAAAAAAGGGATCGCTATGCGATTTCGTCGTTGTACGGTGCGCTCGTTAAGCGAGGCACCACTGTATATACAGAACCCAAAGAGCAGAGAGATAATAAACCAACATTAGATAAAACAAACTGTTGTCTGTGCTATATATTCTGTCTTTCTCAACAAGTCACAGTTAAAGTTTAGATTGCTACTGTGTGCAAATGTTGGCATTGTATTAGATCTGTAATTTAAACTTAAGAAACACTTGTGGTATTGATTTCTAATGAGTGGAATTGTTTTCTTCAGTTTACATGTAGTCCTGTCTCTTTTACTTCACCAAGTGCAATTTTGTGCCTTTGTCCTGCAGCTACATTTTTAGATTAAGTTGCACTCGACTAGGACAGTGGGCCATTGGATATGTCACTGGTGATGGAAATATTTTACAGACCATACCTCATAATAAGCCTCTGTTTCAAGCACTGATTGATGGTAGCCGGGAAGGATTGTGAGTATGCATTCTTACTACTCTATGTACAGGAAATCTAGTTCTCTATACGTGGGGTGGAGTTCTGAGTAGGGTTTGATGTAATTTGACTTTAGGTCATCGTTGTAGTTAATCATCATTAAACAATATAAATACACCTCTTTTAATGAAAGGCAGAACTAAAAATAAGTTATAAAAACAGTACTAAAATGGGAGAAATGTTTAAAATATTTAAATGATGTTTATGCTAGTTTTTTTAAGAAAAAGTGATAGTCCCTACTGTCTAGTTATTCTTTGAGCCAGTTTCAGCTTTTATCAGATTCATTGGAAACCAAGAGCTCAGTTTATTTTCAAATCGTATAGTCCTTTTTTGTAATATTGTGTGAACTTAAATGTGTATATTGACTCTAGGTAGAGGTTGTGCAAACTAAAATGGCCAGTGTTTATTTGCAATCTAGCTATCTTTACCCAGATGGACGGAGTTATAATCCTGATTTGACAGGACTTTGTGAACCCACCCCACATGATCACATAAAAGTTACACAAGTAAGTTGCATATTATCTATTCCTTGTAAGTGAAAGCATTAGTCAGTAAACATTGAATAATAGATACTCATACTAAGTTTTCGATAAGGTATTTATTAAATCCATTTGCTCTTAAGGAATATTCAGCATCAAGTCTATTCAGTCCATTAGCCACATTGACAAAGATAAACGAGAGGGAAGAGCCATTGAGAACTGCACTTTGAAAAAAGCTTCAGGATCTTAAGTGTTTGGTTTATTACCGTGTTTCCCCAAAAATAAGACAAGGTCTTATATTAATTTTTGCTCCAAAAAAGCATTAGGGCTTATTTTCAGGGTATGTTTTTTTTTTTATGTATCTTCTTTACAATGTTAGAAGGCAGGGTTTCACTTAATTGGGGCTTATTTTTGGGGTAGGGCTTATATTATGAGCATCCTAACAAATCATACTAGGGCTTATTTTCAGGTTAAGACTTATTTTCAGGGAAACAGGGTATGTATATTTTTCCCCAGTGGAATTCTTATCAGACTATAAAGACAAAAAATGTAAATTTTGGGAGAAAAAGTAGGATACATGAGAGAAGGTTCAAATATAGATGAGTCTGAATGTTCAAATGTTAATGCCATTCTGGTTTCCATTAGAGCGACGTGGAGCTGGGTTTCTTCATGGAGCCTGAACCTTGCTTTGCCTTGAAAAACTGAAAGAAATTGAAAGAAAAATTAAAAGAAACAAATAAAGCACTCCTTTTGTTAAGATGTCAATTCAAGGTCTCTTGGGAATCTTGCCACTAGTTTTGTTTCCTGTGTTAACCGCTTTTGAAATATTATTCTAACATACTGTTAATCAGCAACTGTCAGTTCATTTAGCTCTCATTAAAAGATAACTTAGTTTAAATTTCATTGTCATTATTAGACACTTCAATGAGATGAGGCTTATTATGTGAGAAAAGTGTTGTACCTCTTCCCAAACATAGGCAGAAGAAAATATTAAAGGGATTTAAGATTGGGGATATCACCGTTTGTTTCCTTCTTGATAGCAATCAGTCTTAGATTTAAAAAAAAAATGTAAGGGAAAAATTCCAAAGAAAATTACCTTAGACAGTAGCAGCCTGTAGCTGTGCTATTTTTCCCCACTCACCCCATGCCATTTAGCTTGTATTAAAAGAAAAAAAAAACCAAAACAACTAATTTAAAGAGGTAAGGAAAGCAAAATATTTGTGATATTCCAGAGGAATAGTTGTGATCATTTTGTTGCAGCAAAACAGCAACGAGATTTTGTTTCATCTTAATGATTAACACATGTAGTGTGGTATAAGCATTCTTGGATTTCTGGACTTGAAAGGTATAAACATGCGGTTGAATGGTGGTGGGGATTGTAAGCAGAGTAGTTGGATGTTCATGTTCACTTTCTGCTTTTCATTTGACCTTACTGCCATTCTTTGTGTGTGTGCACATCTATGTCTGTGTGTATCTAATTGAGGATAACACTTCCTTCATTTGATGAATTGTCTTGTCCATGGAACCTATTGACACAATTGATTCATTTGTTTTTGAAGTGTCAAGGTTCTGCAGTTAACTCTTATGAACAAGATTAAAAGCACTTGTGTTGAGAGAATGGTTGAATATTTTCTGACACAAATGACAATTCTGAATGTATTGGGGGACAGGGTTGAAACATAATGTATGCCTGTGGAATAGGGTTGTTCATTGCCTCCCAATACCATGGATGAAATGTCAGTTTCCCCTAAATTGAGCCAGTCCACTAACAACCAGAAACTGATACTTCAGCTTTGCTATATCATAGTGTTCTGAAAAATGGCAAAAGGCTTTTTGCTAATGTATTACATTGACTGGAACAAAATAGTTCTCAGTGGTTTATTGGAACATCATTTGCCCATTGTCATCAGAGCAAACTATGTTGTTTAGAAAGTGTAAGGTGGATTGTAAGTCCATTCTGACTCTTCTTTAAACTTAGGCCTCATCTTAAGTACTGTATCCAGTTCTGGACATCACACTTAAGAAGGATGCAGACAAATTGGAACAATTGGAAAGGAAGGCAACAGGGACTGGGAACCAGGGCTTGTGAGGACTGAAGGTTCTGGACATGTTTAGCCTTGAGAAAAGAAGAATGAGGGTAGATATGACAGCACTCTTCAAATACTTGAAAGCTTGTCATATAGAAGAGGAACATGATCTCTTCGTGCCAGAGTGCAGTACATGTAATAATGGGCTTGAGTTACAGGAAGCCAGATTTCAGCTGAATAGCAGGAAAAACCCTCCAAATGTTAAAGCAATACGTGGAATCAGTTTCCTTGGGATGTGGCAAGTACTCCAATGATAAAAGCATTTAAAAACCATTATGTTGGATATATTTGATTTGGATTCCTGCATTGAACAGGGAGTTGGACAATGGCCTCATAGGACCCTTCCAACTTCATTATTTTGTGACTACTCTGAAGAACTACTTACCTAAGGTAGTCTCTTTTTCAGGAACAATATGAATTGTATTGTGAAATGGGCTCCACATTTCAGCTTTGTAAAATTTGTGCAGAAAATGATAAAGATGTGAAGATTGAGCCTTGTGGGCATCTTATGTGCACATCTTGCCTTACAGCATGGCAGGTAAGGTTTTTCTTTTTTCTTTTAAGATAAAATACATATGTGGGTTATTTTAATTACCCAGCAGTAAAATTCCAGATCAAGCTAATTGATTACTCCAGTCTTAGATTTTCTTTCTGACATTGCTTTGTGACATCTCTCCTTTTAATTGCCTATTAGAATCTGAAGAGTTGAGTACTTTGTATGCTGGGAAGTATTGTAGTAATCATGGAGATTAAATTTAAACCTTTGTCTCCCTCCTTTCACCAATAAGGACTGAATATTCTGTTGGGACATTTGCTGAAGCAGCTGTAAAAACAAGTAGTGATGTTAAAAGTGTAGATTTTAATTTCATAGCAGTTTGTTGAGATAGTGTACCTCTTGAATACCAGTGGCGATAAAGAATCTGGCCAAAGCAAAATACAAAAATCTTCTGTTTCTAGATAAATTCTTAGCAAGTAGACTCTAATGGAAAATGGAGCATTGGGGCTTTTCTTTCATTAGCAGTCACATTTACTATTTAATCAAACTTCATTGCAAATATAACTCCTGTATAATTAATGAGTGGGTGAAGGAAAAATGCTATAGCAGTGTTAGTTGTTACTTGCCAGTGGTTAGAGTTTAATTGCTGTCATAATGGCTCATTAAACATGCCTAAGGAGAGATTGCCATGGCTTTTTTTTCATAGTGAAACATCTGTGTTTGTTAATAAAACAAACTACTCAAATCTTTAGTGAATACAAAACACGTGTTTCTTAACATTTTATATTGAAGGTCAATCTACTTATTTTCTTTGTTAAAATAAAGCTTCTTTTGGCTTTTATTTTGGAAGGAAAAGCAAGATACGTATGAACACTGAAATAAGAATGTATCAAGGTGTCTATTGCTCCAAGAGTTAGGTATCTGGCTGCAGAGTCTAAGATTACTACTTCGATTCTCCAAGGAAAGGAGCCAGACTATACAGTATAGCCTTGGATGAGCTATAAAGTCCCAAAATGTCCCCAAAAGATGGTACTACTTTTGACTGCTCTGTATCTAGAAAACCCCAGAAAGGGTGACCATATGTCAGAATGGACTTGATGTCACATTGTTGTTGTTAAGAGACCATAATGAGCCATTGAACTTTTACATAGGTAGACATAACTAATCCTGAATGCATAGAATGAGAGTTACATTGTATCATGTTCATATATTTTGAGTATTTTTCTGCATTGATTTATATAGAAACAGTATTTTTAAAAGCCCAAATGAAAATCTAACAATAAGTTGACAGTTTTGCAAATTGCAACTGTATCTTTTAGTCTGTGCCTGCCTCTAGCAAATGACAAAAAATTTATATATCAAAACTCACAGTTGGGCAGTACTTTCTTTGTTATAAAATTGTTAGAAAATAGTGACCCGAGAGAAGACAAAAGCTTATTTACTTTGTGATATCTTGGTGATCCCAATAAAGATATTGCCATGCCATGGATAGTGAAGGGTTATTCTTGTGGATTTTTTAAAATATCATGTAACATGTCTTGTGGCAAGTGATGCAACTGATTTGTGAAAAGTATAGACTATACTTCTGCCCTCATTTCATAGCTCATATTAAGAAGGCCTGCAGTCATATGAAAAGCTTAATGTTTGCCATTTCTGAAAAAGAGCTGCTACAAGTGTGTAAATAAAACCTAATATCATGAGGGAAAATGTTCCTGGTGTTAAGCCTCAAGTAAATGTCTGAACTTAGATTGTCCCAAACATTAATTAACTGATATAGAAAATCTCAGTGCTGTTCCTCCATTTCTAAATTATCACCTAATCTGGTGCCTGTTCTAACTAAATGCAAATTTCAGTCAGCATGCAGAATCCTGAAGGCGTGGATAGACTAACTTCTCACAATCGCTATCTCATTGTAGAGTGATGTGCTTTCTAAGCAAAAAGTGCTAGTCTTTTGAGATTTAATGCCACAGCCAGACAACTCAAAGTTCTAAGCAAGTGTGTCTCGGAAAATAAGGGTGCACTTCTTCAGAGCCACAAGGTACAGATTGCTTGAACATCCTTAGGAATCCAACATCAAGAAAAGCCCACCATTGATTTACTGTTGATTTTTTTCACCATTGTTTTATTCCGTCAGATACCCATCTTCTGGTAATGATTCGGCACAAGGATCAATAATGCCAGATGCTTATTAGTAGTTAAGAGTATGGTGCTCTTTCCTCCTTCTTTTCATGTTTGTTTGATCATGAGTTTTAAGACAAAACCACCAGTGGCAAGTGGTGCTACAGCTAGGTTCTGTAAGCAGACAGAGGGGACTATTGAAAACTTACTGGAGGAAGAGCCACTGAGATAATCTCACTATAGGCCTTTTCACAGCTTTCTATGAGGGATAGTAGTAAAAATTCTTCTTTGCTCACGAAGATGTCATGCACTCCCTCCTGGTTTTCCTGTTGTTGTTGATGATGTTAGTTTTATTTATCTGCCACATTTCTCCCAACAAGAGATCCAAAGCGGCTCACAATATTAAAAGTCACACCATTAAAAAACACAAGAAGTCAAATATTAAAAGACAAATTAAACAATATATGATTTAAAATAAAATTAAAAGATTAAAACATGAAAAAGATTAAAATGGGGTTCAGGGGTTCTGATCTACTGAAAGATCCCCCCCCCATGACCTACAGCATTTCACTAGCATCGAACCAATAACTAAGCGTAATCTGGGCAGGGATTTTTTTTTTTGCCTCACCCTGTGTAAACGTATTAAATTATTAGATTGGGATAATATATCATCTACATATCTTATTTGATGGCTTGAACAGGTGCATGAACTGTATTCAAGAGCAAGGGGTAATATCCTGCTTTAAGCCAAGTAACACCCAAAGAAGCACCAGAGTTCATAGTGACCTCAGAGAACCAATCAATGTACCATCAATGGATGGCAATAAATCTATGCCAACTTTCATGACAATTTTTTTATGGTACTGCATGACTTACGTACTCACGGGGAGGGGCTTCTGCCATCAATATGCTGATGACAGCCAGCTCTACATCTCCTTTTCTCCAACCACAGTGGATACCATTCCATCCCTTCAGCGCTGCTTGGAAGCTGTGCTGCAGAGGATGCAGGAGAATGGATTGAGGCTGAACCTGGACAAGATGGAGGTTCTGAGGGTGGGTGGCCCCTCCATCGGTGGTTTGGGAAACTCTCTTCGGGGAGTGACTCTCACCACGAAGAGTGAGGTTCGCAACTTGGGAGTACATCTGGATACGGCATTCACCATGGAAACCCAGGTGGCATCAGTGGTCTGCTCTGTCTATTTCCATCTGTGGCAGATTGCCCAGCTGCATCCCTATCTTGATGTTGGGGCACTCACCACTCTGGTCCATGCGCTTGTAGTCTCGAGACTAGACTACTATAACACGCACTACGTGGGGCTAACTTTGCGATTGATGCAGAAGCTTCAAATGGTGCAGACTTCTTACTGGGGTGAGAAAACATCAACATATCTCCCCCACTCTGGCTCCCTTGCATTGGCTGCCTGTTCGTTTTCGCATTGATTTCAAAGTGTTAAGGATGAAATATAAAGCCCTAGATGGTCTAGGACCTCAATATCTAACGCAACGCCTCCTCCCACCTACATCTACCCAAATCACTCGTTCTAGCCAGGAAGGGTGGCTGATGGGCCTAATGCTGAGGAAGGCCCGCAAAGAAAGAATAAGAAACTGGGTCTTCTCGGCAGTGCCTCCTTGTGTTTGGAACAGTCTGCCCCCAGAGATCTGTCTGGCTCCCTCGCTGGGTGTTTTTAAGAGCAAACTTAAGACCTGGCTCTTTAGGCAGGCTTTCCCTCCTGTCATCACTTGAATATTTTTTCCTAACTTGAACTATGTTACTGCTGTTTTTTTTTATTGTTTTTATTCTATTATTCTTAGCTGCCCAGAGTAGACTTTGGTCTAGATGGGCATGGCATAAATTTAATAAATAAATATAAATGAATCAATGAGAAAAAAGACATAGGAAATATATATACAGTGGTGCCTCACATTGCGGCGTTAATTCGTTCCAGCGAAATCGCTGCTAAACGAAAACATCACAATGTGAAAATAAAAAGCCCATAGAAACGCATTAAAACATGATTAATGCATTCCTATGGGCTTAAACTCACCGTTCAGTGAAGATCCTCCATAGTGCGGCCATTTTCGCTCCCTGTTAAACGAGGAATCCATCCCAGAAAACAGCAGGCGGCCATTTTGAAACTACTGATCAGCTGTTAAAAAGCATTGCTTTGTGATGATCCGTTCCCCCACAGCCAGCCCCGGATGACGCCCGGCCTCCTTGGCAGCACTGTCCCGGGTCGCAGATGGGCAGGCCAGAGGGTCTTTCTCCGGCGAGCGAGGGCTCGGAGCTAGCCAGCCCGAGACGAAGTCCGGCTTCCTTGGACGGCAAGCGGTGGGAGGAGGGCTTGGAGGTGGGCAGCCACCCGGGGTGGCAAGGGGCGCACCACCCACTGGCAGCCAGCCAGCCCAGGAGACGCCCGGCCTCCTTGGATGGCGAGCGGTGAGAGGAGGGCTTGGAAGCAGGCAGCCACCCGGGGCAGCAAGGGGCGCGCCAACCACTGATCGCCAGCCAGCCCGGGATGATGGCCGGCCTCCTTGGACGGCGAGCGGTGGGAGGAGGGCTCGGAGGCAGGCAGCCGCCCGGTGCGGGAAGAGGCGCGCCACCTGACCACCAGCCAGCCCGGGATGACACCCGGCCTCCTTGGAGGGTGAGCGGTGTGAAGAGGGCTCGGAGGCAGGCAGCCGCCCAGGGCGGCAAGGGGCGTGCCACCCCCTACCAGCCAGCCAACGCCAGACGCCCGGTCTCCTTGGCGGGGCGCAGATAGGGTGAGGATGGGGTCTCTGGCACGCCGCCGCCCCCGGTCCAGCCACTCCCGCCCTGATCCCGGTCCCAGGCGGACACCTCCTTTGCAGCGCCTCCTGCCGCGATGGCTCTCTGCCTCGGCGCCCCAGGGGTGTGCGCGGGGATCAGGGCCAGGCCCTTCTCCCCTCCTTCCCTCCCTCCTCCTGAGGCGCCAATCTGGAGCACCCCCGCTCCCCCCTCCCACCGTCCCCTATTTATGCAGGAGCTCTGGGGGGTTAGTGTGTGGTGCCTTTCAGCTGTTTAAAAAGCATTGCTTTGCCATGATCGGTTCCCCAAGGAGGGAACCGATCATCGCAATGCGAAATTCCCCTATAGGGAACATCACAAAGCAATCGCAAAAGCGATTGCAAAATCTTCATCGCAAAGCGATTTCATCGTTACACAAAGCAATCTCTATGCGAGGCACCACTGTATAACTATGGTCAAGGAGTTTTAAAGAAGACCCAGTACATTTCACAACCCAAACCTTTCTTTATTAAAAATTATATATAAACAGAATCAGCCACTTGTGCAAGGTGCAGAAAAATACTACCTGAGCTAGCCCTGTTGGTGTTACATACTGTAAAGTCAGAAATGACTCATAGTGACCTAATAGGTCTTTCAAGGTAAGTGAGGTATTTGACTTTCTTGGACAAATGGTGAAAAAACAAACAAACAAAAAACGTCTAGCTCAATCAAATAAAATTCCAATGGGCAGGCCAAATCTATTTATCTCCTGTAACAATTTTTGTGGCATAATACAACTGATGTACATGTGCATAATAGGAGAATATGATCTTTTGAATTACTTAGAGTTGCTTGTGGAAATCTATTGATAAGAAAAGCTCTTGATTTAATTTCTTGGAGTTTTCCTTATCAGAAATAGGTCCTGTCTGTGTACTTATTCACTGATTATCTCTAAGAAATCAAGCAACAGACAGATGAGATATGGAAAGCAAGATAATATAATTCTGTGTTTTAATAAAACAGATATTCAAATGGTTTTTCTTACATTTTAAATTTTAATGATTGCATAGGTTTTTTTTTTAAAAAAAGTGGTAAAATTCTGTTTAACTCATTGGAGTTTTCCTGGAGTTGTTGTTTAGTCGTTAAGATGTCCGACTCTTTGTGAGCCCATGGACCAGAACATGCCAGGCCCTCCTGTTTTCCACTGCCTCCTGGAGTTTGGTCAAGTTTTGGTTTGGAGTTTTGGTTTCCTGGAGTACTTGCTGTTAAGTATACTGTTCTGCCAAATATATATAAAAATAACATTGAATTTGGTAGTTTAAAATCCTTTTTTTTCCCCACATACAGGAGTCTGATGGTCAGGGATGTCCTTTCTGTCGTTGTGAAATCAAAGGAACTGAACCCATAATTGTTGACCCCTTTGACCCCAGGGATGAAAACACGAGGTGCTGTAGCATTATGGATAATTTTAGTTTACCCCTGCTCGATTTGGATGATGATGATGACAGAGAAGAGTCCTTGATGATGAATCAATTGGCTTCTGTACGAAAGGTATAGATCTTGTTTCTAAAGGTGACATCATTATGCCCATGTCTGAATAGGAGTGATTTTAGTTCTGAATTTACATGCTCTGGAATATAATTTCAGACATAACTCTTTTTCTCTTTGGAGAACATAGATAAAAACTACCATGACTCATCTTCTCTGTAACACAGTGAGTCTTCTTTAAGAAGATTTACCTTATGTGAAACTACACATGCTTGATCAGACCAAAGGTCTATATAATCAACATCCTGTTTGATCGCAGCCAACATCGTCCTGCTCGTGCTCTTTTGCAAATGGTATTTGGAAGCATATTGCATCTGACACTGAAGACAATATAGAGCTGTTATGCATGGTAGCCGCTGACAGCACATATAGGAGATACATGCCTCATGAAGCTGTATATTTGTTGTTAAAATTCCTAACATGTTTCAGTCTGTTGCTGTATTAAAGCCGAATGGACGTCATATTCTCCCCGGGACACACCAGAAATAATCATTTTTTTGAAAAAGCTGTTGAAAATCTCTGGCATTGGCCACCCAGCAGCCTTCCTGGCCATGTAACGGTTGTTTAATTTCTCTTTTAACATTTTTAGTAAGTAAACATTGTTTACAACTTTTTATAAATATACAATCACAGCTCTGAACATTAATTGATGTAACTGAATAACTCAACTGAAGTCTTCAGTTGGCGTAATTACTTCCAAGTATATGACTTCCTTCTGTGTTAATTGGGCAGTTTATTATTTCTTGTTACGTGTCTTATTGGTTAAGGGCTGTAGAGCTGGGATTATTTGATGCCTAAACATTACCTGAATATCAAGACATACGTACTGTATAATAAGAAATCACAAAACACTTTTCAAGTCATACTGAAGGAAATCAGGAAGTAAATGTATGAAGGCTTTCTCATACAATTAAGGCACGGAACTGCAATTTTATACAAAACCAGTAAATAATGTTTACTGCTAAAGTTAAAATAAAATCACATGAATAATTAAATAGCCATGGTGAAACTAGAAAAGCAGCTGGAAAGCTGCAACACCAGTTTTTAGCATGGATTGCACTGCTAATTTTCAGCGGCTATAGTTCCTGAGCTGCGAGCCACCTTGAAAATGGGACTTTGGCACCACCAAGACCATTGGAAGACTATAAAACTGTATAAAAGACAACACAGGTATATTAGCAGACAGAAATGTGTGTCTTCTGTTTCAATAATCTCCCGTTTTTGCATTTTTAATAGGCATTTAGAGCCTGTTTTTTCATGGATTTGCTTGATGTCCTTTTAAAGTCATCCAGATTGATTTAACTACAGTGGTGCCTCGCACAGCGATTGCTTCATACAACGATGAATTCACACAGCGATGGGTTTTTTTGAGGAATTTCCCCCATTGTTTAACGATGTTCTCTATGGGGGAATTTCACTTAACGATGTCCCTTTTTGCTCATTTAAAAGTGTCTTAAAATGTTTGAAACCTGTTTTAAATGCTTGGATTCCATAGTGCACCTTGTGAAACACGTGCAGACTTAATTTGGTTTTGTTCTGAGTCTTCATTAATTTTCGGTGTTTTTTTTATTTTCCCCATTTAAATCAATTGAATGGACAGTTCAATGCATTTAAATAGGGAAAACAAAAAATCACCAAAAATTAACGAAGACTCAGAACAACACCAAATTAAGTCTGCACGTGTTTCACAAGGTGTACTATGGAATCCAAGCATTTAAAACATGTTCCAAACATTGTAAGACACTTAAAAATGAGCGAATAGGGACATCGGAAAGGACTTCAAAAGCACTGAAGCCAGCTTCAGTGCTTTTGAAGCTCTTCCGTTTTCGCTCATTTTTAAGGGTCTTACAGTGTTTGGAACATGTTTTAAATGCTTGCAATCGTTAGCCCACCTCCTGAACCCTATGCAAACTTAATTTG